TCTCCTCCGTAAAGTTGGATTAGTCCTAAAGAATTCGATCTTTATGGGCTTTCTAGCTTTACTTGGAACACTTGGGGTATATATCCAAATATACCTAACAATACGAATAGAGCAAGGGCATTGGCCGAGAAAAAGTGGTAATTCTTCCTTGTAAGTAATTCTAACTTATATAAATAGTTATTCATTCATATGTGATGGTCTTTTTCGTTTCTTTCTAGTGTTGCGAATTCGAAATGAATACGAAATAATACTGTATCATAACGTATTGTTTGTTGCGCGTCTCTCATTTTGTTTTGTCTTATATTAGCAAATAGATATGTAGCGATCAATGCACACTTGTTAATAAATAATATTTTTGATGATTATATCTACTCTATAAGCTAGATGTCTATAGTATTATCGTCTAATGTTCGATTAAAAAATTGAAGCATAGGTATTTCATGAGGCTTCTTTCAAGCACAAAGAAACTATTTGAAACGAATCTTTATACTAATAGTCAATGGAAATAGAACAGAAGAAATAATAAATATTTTGTTATTTCTCGCTTTGTACAATGGCGGATAAATTCCCTTGAGATCTTCAATCAAGTGAACTACATTCTCATTTTTTGTTCAAGTTTTAAAAAAAAACAAGTCTATGATTGTTGAAAGTATTCTCAGTGTCACAAAAAAGCGGAAAAGAAAAAGTAAAGAAAAACGTTCATCATAGAGTTGTGTTTCTATAGTAGTATTTTACATATTTTACCTTTAAATGATCATGAGATGACAATGAGACCTCATTTTCCAAGACATAAATATGTAGTACTATATAAAACCTACCAGAGTGAGTTAAGTCATATCCCACGCATACCTTTTCTATAATATGATATCCGAAGCAAAATTTCTGAATAAGTATGTTGTTATTATTTCGTGTACTACAATAGAGAAAGACATATTATTCATATTTTCGTCTTTTAGCCGAAAATAAGGGTTGTTGAATACCAAAAAAACAGGAAAGAGTGAAAACGATGTCGCAGAAGTATGTTTCACGTTCAGGGATCTAAGAAAAAAGTGAGAGAAACTAATCGAATTCTATATAAACTCGGGCGGCTTTTGTTGGAAGCGAATGTGCAAAAACATGGCACGCGTTTCTTCATTTTCGATTTTCGTTTTTTTCTCGAAAAGATGAAACTGAATTTTAGATGCTGCACGACGGTAATCACTCATGACAAATTCAGTTTTTAGATGAAATACATCAACTAAAAACTGACGAAATGCATATCTTTTAGATAAGTCTAAAGCTTTCAATGCTCGATACTGTGCAACGCTTATTGGGTACAACGCATTACGATTTTGACCCTTGCGCTTATCTTTAGCCCCAGTATAGATGGTTAGATGCATGTGGGGAGCTAAAGTGTTTAAAATACTGGATGATCTTGCGAATGCGCAGGGCGTTCTAAGTCCTCCTGCAGATGGACGGTTTGCGAAAAGACCTGTTTGATTGTGGAGATGACGCCAATATATAGCTGAAACAAAACGAGAGTTTCTGCATTTAAAAAGACAGTCATCATATCACAGATGCAGGACTCAAAGCTATATTCAAGTTTTATACGGTTCATAAAAGATTGTATTCATTAGGAGAAATTGAGAAGTTACGGAATAAAACAAATGCTAAATTTCCAGTGATTTTTAGTAAAAGTAGTGCTTATGTCAAATTCGATTATGCGTTCAGAACTGCTCTTTTTGTAGCACAAAAGTACGCAAATAGTCTTGAAAAGCTAAACGAACTAACCTTTCGGTTCAACATGTATGATACTTTAATCGGAAATAAGCACATAGTTGCAATTTCTATAAATTGTATTGAAGGAGGACGTGAGTGTGAAAAAGCAAAGAATTTAGTTCCCGTCGGTCTTTTTGAAGTACAAAAAGAAAATACCAAATTATTAAGAAAAAGTCTTCCGTAAGAGTTCATTGATGATATACGTTCCGTGATACGTATACGTTATAAATCAAAAGACCTTGATGTACAACTTAAACTAGGAGGTGATTTACTGAATGCAATCTATGTCTTTGGCCTCGCTAGATTTGCTTCAAATTATCCCTGCGTGTTCTGTACCCAGCATAAAGATGATCTTCACATAACTGAAGACACTGCTTATGATAAATCTGTCCCAGAATAGGCAGTCCCAGGCAGGCAAAAATAAAGTGACAAAAATAGTTAGAATTAGTGGCACATCATATCATGATGTAACTAAATTAGCTTGTTCACTAGACGAACAACAAGAGTGCTTGAAGTACGGAAAAATGAACGATTTGGGATATAAATGTGAACCACTGTTTGGTGATCTGTTTACTTATAAAGATTACGTTCTCGATACATTGCATATGAAATTGAGAATTTTTGACGTGCTCTTAAAAGATATTTTAGCGCATGCTTCGCGCACCGGTCACTATGGAGCCGCCCACACAAAGATTTTAAATGAAAAAATAGCAGCGCTTAACAAACATGCTGAAAAAACTGTGGGTAAACGATTCTTTTTTCAAATAGATGCAGAAAACCAAAATAAAATAATAACTTCACATGGAAAACTATCAGGACATTTGCAAGACTTGTTCTTTATCGATGAGTTTCCGTTTGGCGAAGTTCTGGGTGATGGAACAATTACTGCATCTGCAAAAAAATTTGTAGAAAAATTCAAGGAACTGTTAGCCGAAGTAAAGAGGGAAAAGCTTAAACGGAAAAGTGTTTTGAAACGTCTTTCTTAAGAATTCATAAAAGAGTTTCGTCTGTCAGGTCTCAGAACAACTGTGACACCATATATTCACATAGTTGGTAATCATTTGTTCCAATTCGACGAACTTAAATACCCTAGAGCATTTAACATGCAAGGAGCTGAAAAGGGAAATGATGTTCTGTCAAGACTATATTTCTCATCAAAAACTTATGAACAGATATATTAATGAATAAACTAACGACAAGATTCGGGATGTTACAAACAGGATGAGTGAATAAATGACTATGATTTCTCGTATGCCAGCATACATCAGCTATTTTTTGTTTTGCGAGCGGGCATCTTTTCCTCTTTTGTCCACTGATCGACTTTCTTTTTTTCCAGATTCTTGCCTTGTCTCTTGCCATTTCAGACAAGATTCTTCTCTTAATATTTATTAATTTTTCATCTTTTTTCGTGAAAGATTCTTGTCTGGAATAGTGAGATTCGTCGGTGATAAATTCACCAATCTGTTTTGTCGATTCCCGTGCTATATATAAGTTATATAATATAACTATATAATAAATCACAAAAGATATAACAAACAGATCTTACAAGAAATATAACAAAAATTCGACCAGTACTATGTATATATAAACACACCTACTCACTTTCTTGTCTATGTTGTTACAAGATTCTTACTTCTTTTCATCTCAAACATGTTTGTCTTGATGTATATTAGGCAAGGTTCTTTTGTTCGTTTTCACCGTTTTTTTAACACTGTTTAATCAACAGTAGGAAAGTCAAAAGAGTAGAAAGAAGGTGACTATTTTCAACCGAAATTTAACAAGTTCACTGCCATATTGCAAAAAATTTCGTCATAAACCCGAATATGTGCATCGTTTCTAATCAACCAAGATTTCAATAGTTTTCCGAAGCAAGGAAACGAAGGGGCTTGGGCTTATTTACCCACGCAGTTACGCATAGTCTCTCTCATGTCGTAGAAAACAGGGAGAAATAGAGTACAGAGGGCGAGATCTCAATCCGTAGAAGGGTGCAACCTCTTGTCTGCACAGCTTGTCCCTCATCGTCAGTGTCAGAATATTGACAGGTCTTTTCTCAGAACAAACTACAACAGAGAAAGAAGTAGAGGGAAAGTTTATGAACGCGTACGTTGGCTCGTTTGTTATCGTTCGAAACAAATAATTCAAGCAGTCAAAAGCAATACATAAACATTGAGTTTCTGTGACTTTACTCTGGTTCTAGGTTTTAAGCGTTTTTTATCGGTTTGTCAGGTTATATTATGAAAATAAAGGTCTCTCACTTTTGTTTCACAGCGAAAGCTTTTTGTCTCATGTTTGAGACAAATGGTAGCACCCTAAATGTTGAGGCACTGTGACTCAACAAGGAGCATAAAATGATCACAAATGCGCGCAAAATGAACACAAAGTGATAAAATGATCATTTTATTCACATATAGTCACTTTTCAGCTATTTTCTCTTGCAGACCAACGTCGTTATATAGGGACATTCTCGATATATCGTCGTCAAGATCTTTTTCTGTCCTCTTTCTTCTCACAACACATAGTTACTACACTCATTTATTCACTCATCATAGTTGTAACATCCCTATTGTTTCAGCTTGCCTTTCTTCTTCGTTAAATTACAAATGAGTATACAAAGGCAATCATCAATCTTCCATAAATCCAGCATAGGCCGTTAAGATAATTATTGTTTTAAAGTTAAAAGTGATGAGTGCCTTCATAAAGTCTGTTGAATTGTTACATGTGTGTTTTAAAAGCTCACTCAGTGAAGTCATGTACGAAGTTTTAAGGACTGAAAAACTTATGGTCTTATAGGATTGAACACCTTGAAATGCTGCTTTGTAAACGGAGTAAGAATGGAAAAATAGGCACCTAACACAGACAAGCACCACTTTTCCCTAGATTGTTTATTTCTTTCAAAAGCAAAGTTTTCATAATGCAAAGTCTACGAACATTGTATACTTTTCATTTGTGAAATTGATGAATATGCGAAGAGACAAAACTAATTGTTACCGCCCGCACATGTGATATTTATTTTAGCTAGTAAGCTGCACGTGTCATGTGGTTTAGTTTTCATAATCCATTGTTGCCAATGTTAACTTTGGACCAGTACTTTCTTTTGAATTTATTTACTGTTTTCATAACTGCGTTCATCATATTGATTTGGTATTATTCCTCTTTCGTATCTACTAACAACATAACGTTTTTACCTGAAAGGTATCAATCAAATCATAAAGAAAATGAAGTTCGCTATTATTTGCTTTTATTTATTTGTTAGTAGTATTTTTCAAAAGAATCTTTCGTTTTTTAGCAGGTTTTTTTATTACTGGTACCGAACAAGGTATCGGTTCAAAGCTTGCTAAAGTTCTAAGTTTATTATTAGAAATTCTTTTGTCATAGTTTTCTTGTGTTGTAAGTAAACGTTTTGTTATAAAGTCGGTTGTTTGGTGAGCACCAGCTGAACCTGAATTCAATACTTTTTTAACGATATCATCTGGTATTGTAATATTTGTTAATAGTCGTACAAATGAACCTTGTGCACGAAACGGATTAACATTAGTTGACATGATTGTTGATAAATCATCATTATCACGTTTCATTCTAGTTGTTATTGTTTCAACGTGAACTTCGTTACTGTTTTCTTCAAGATTAGTTATTTGTTCAATTGTATGATACATTTTAGCATCAAGTGATGCTGTTCTATAGTATAGATGTAATCGATCACCATCCATTCTTCCTGATATACCAAATTTTGAGTTTGATTCACGATTAATTGTACAATACATTCAATAGCCTCATCAAATGCCAAATTTGTAAATGAGATTCCTGGTATTGATGCTGAAACGTATTGTTTCATTTGTAGCTTTAAATAATCTGAACATTGATGCATTTCATATAAATAATGGCATGCCATTTTAGCATACAAATAATGGTTATAAGTAAACCAGTATTTTGTAAAACATTTCCATGCATCTAAACGTGCTTCAAAATTACTGATACGTACAGCTACTAAATGTGTAAAAAATGGTACTAAATATTCATGAATAATCATATCCCAATATGCAAAATTTAAAGTTTTTGATGCATTTTCTTTTCTCCATTTATCAAAACATGCTAATAAATCTGTTTTTTTTAATAATTCAATAACGTAATCTGTAACATTTGTCATGTTATTGTTAGATTTATTGACAATAAATGTTAATTTTCCTTTATATTCATTATTATGCTTAATAAAAACTTCTAATTGTGAAACCATTAAATAAATAAAAGTTATTTTTAATGTACGAATATTTCGTTTATATGTGAGAGAAACGTAACTTTCTAGTACAATCACTTGTTTAGATATGTTTCTATAATGACTCAGGTTACAAGAGGCTCGCTTGAGCAAATTTTTTCCTGTGCTTTGCCTAGTACTTCGCCCACTTCCACAAAAGTTTTCT